TATACATATATAAACACTTAAACTTACGGATTCGTTCACCTGAAGCCGGCGGAAAAGTGCAGAGTGAGCAGGGCCAGTGGCAACAGTCACCTCTTTCATTTGCTGAGTCTCTAGGTCGAGGGACGACTCAGGCGGCTTCTTCAACTGAAGAATTTTACCAAAGGCACTTTTCAGAGCGGATGTTACGGACAGTTTCGGACCGTTTTGAGTCACGCCAACGAAAAAGAGACCGTCCAGACTGATATACTTGAAGCCTTTGCACACATTTTCGACCGCCGCCAACTGGTCGGTCAGAACAGAATTGTCCGTACTGAGGCCCGTACAGAGCGAGTTTCTCGATGGGAGAGGCATACTGCGCACTGAGGGACAGGTTTGAATACCGTTCGTGTAATCACCGTTTTTTAAGGCCGGCTCTGTTGTTACTGTTGACGCAGCAGCAGCAGCAGCATTAGTGCAGTTGCTGGCTGCCACCATAGAAAGAAAGGATTTAGAGCGTGTGGCTTCGGACGACGGGGCAGATGGAATAGTGGTGCGCCACTTGCTTTCATTTACAAAGAGTAGAAGGTAGGCCTCCGTGAGGTCGGCGGTTGAAACTAGGCTTACGTAGCGACGTCGTAGCCCCTACAAAAAAAGAATCTACAGTTGAAGAAAGAGATGTAGAACTGGGCAAGGAACAATGCTGTATCAAAATGGGGTATAAACTAGGACCACAAGCCTTTTTTCTGGCTAGAATCGTGCTTCTGAACTTCTTCAGACGACCCGGAACTGTATGCACCATTGTTATTGTCCGGCATTCAGGCACGGCAGCGAGAGAAACGAGACGAGTGTAGCCAACGTGCGGCCGTGTGGGAAAATCACAGACGCAACTCTATGACGACCCAGCTGGGGTGGCGCTTAGGCTCATCTCCTCTCACTGAAACATGGTCTGTTTAGAAGAACGGATTGGGTTCTAGGCGGAAGGACATTACCGACAGAGACAAGGGAGACTAAGATGGCCATTTCTGGCTTATTAGCCGTCCTCAGCTAGTCATAACCAACCGAATTCTCGATGTCTTCTCAGTTTTTGATCGGGAATATACAGTGGCAGATAGGCGTACACCGATCAGTTAGAGGACACATTCGTCCGCCCATGGTGCCTTTGGAACTCACACTCGAGCATACGCCGCGTAGGTTGGGTTACGTGCTGCGTAATGTCCC